CATTGTGTTCATAGCCATCTGTTTGCCTTGTAGTACATTCAATAATAACTATATATCGAATTTGATCTTTTAATTTAACTTAATATATCTTAATACATTAAGCCATATTAAGTGTTTATGTTTTTCTACAGGAGGAAAACACTTAACGAGAGACTTTGTGCATTGCGTTCATATTCTGCTGTTCTGTGGCGACGGATTTGCGGGTCTTGTCTTTTTCTTGCAGGACCCTGTACGTTATAGTATAAAATTAGTTTTAATCGTTTAATCACCACCACAGCTTCTTGTCTCCATTGGCAACACGCACCATTTGTGTCCATTGCAAGTGACGTCGCAGGTATCGGAGAGTGCAAGTGGCGATTGCAAGTGACTTCGTAATTTAGTTTCTTTTTTCTTGTCTTCACCACCTGGCTACTGTTGTAAAATGTTGAGAGATTCAAACAAAAAGTAATCAATAAATAGAACAAAAAATAAATAAATAAAAGACTGCAAGTGACGTCGCTAGCGGAAGCGCAAGTGTCTGAGAATGCAAGCCTGAGAGTGCACGTCTGAGAGTGCAAGTGCAAGGCTGCAGCTAGACCCTCTTGCAGGAAAGTGCGGTGAGTTGCTGTTAGCTTGAACCGAAGTCCCAGGAATGTGCATAACTGTGATACATTTATAGGTTGGTAACATTACAAGCTGGCAATAAACTTGTTATTAGTTACTTTTGTTGTTTTCACAGTAATTTATCTTTTTATACATTAGCATTACTATTTCACATTTATTAAACATTGATAATTAACAATGTTACACTATTTTAACATACCCTTGTTACAGTGTAACACAAATAAGTAGAACTCCTGAGTAATATTAAATAACAGCATGTACATAGGATTAAGGTTTAGTTTAGGGTTGGTTTCTTGTAATTATGTGTAATTTACTGTTATTAAGTATATGTAACAAGAACATTGTAAAATTAAGCGTAACCGTTACCTTATATTCTTTACACGGTGAAGCTTTGTGTAATAACCTTTATACAGTCTATGGTAATAACACAGTAGGGGTGCACATCAACTGCCTGAAGGTGTCACTTGACGTTATTCACAACCGTCCAATCAGAGGACATGTAACAAAGGCTGGGGCAATGTCTCTGTTTTGATTGGTTAAGAGGTCGGGCCGGGATGAAGGACGCGCCCCGGCGAATGCAGCATGACATTCATACTCAGCTAAATTTCCACGAGCATCGCATGACTGGGAGGAGGATTACAGAAGATACGCGTCTGCTTCTTACTGTAACTGTAGAAAAATGACATTGTAAAAGTATTTGTCAGTTAACTTAGCAAATGCATTAATAATAAGCTCTTTTATTCGCTGGCTGCTAAAAAAAGTAGGCCTAGAGTTTATTGTTTAAAGTGAAATCAAAGAGCTTGTACATCACCTGTTTCCGGGAATTCCGCGATTGAAACATGGATTTCGTTCTCGGCGGAGCCGCTGCGTGTGGCGCCTGCTTTTTCACAAACCCTCTGGAGGTGGTCAAAACTCGAATGCAATTGCAAGGAGAGCTGAAAAGCCGAGGAACCTACCAAGTGTATTATAGAAATGTGTTTCACGCCTTTTACACGATAGGCAAAATAGACGGACTGGCTGGTCTTCAGAAAGGTTTGGTCCCCGGGTTGGTTTATCAGTTTTTTATGAATGGGGTCCGGCTGGGGTCTTACGCCATCATCGAGGCCTTGGGCTACATTCACACGGACGGAAGGGTCAGCGCTACCAAGAGCATAGTGTCCGGGGCCATTGCCGGTGTGGTGGGCGCTGTAATGGGGAGCCCGATTTACCTGGTGAGTACCGAGAATTGTCTCTGTTTCTGTCTAGTAAACGACTGATTTAAGCACGTGTTTAGTGCGGTCGGCCAGTGCGGTCACTCTGAATATCATCAACGCGTAAAGTAGAGCTGTCAATTACAAAGAGAGCACAATGGTGGAACGCCTTTAAAATAGCCGCTATACGCAGATCTGTGACCTACATCATGAATTTTATTTTATTGCTCCAAGTTCCCTCGTCGCTTAGCAACCGTAAACAGACTAATGTACTCTATAATTAGGAGAAAATATATTATTATAAATTATTGTATGGTTATTATAACAAAGTTATAAAACATGTGATTATTTATAAATATTTCAGTATATTCAGAAATAGTTGCTTTTGGGTTCCATTCACTGAAAGTAGATTATTTATACTGCCAAGGTCCAAAATGGACAAAAAGCACCAAGTGGCTTTAGTTTACCAGCTGTTTAACCACTTTCTCACTTTCCATTTATTATTTCCTTCAGGTAAAAACACATCTCCAGTCTCAATCCACTTCCTCTATTGCAGTTGGACACCAGTATAAGCACAGGGTAAGTTAATGGTCACCTCACATAATCATCTAACATGACATCAGATTTATTATTTTTTTCTTTGAATGTGACTTGAGAACTTTGATCTTCAAGTTGACTGATCCTAGGGTTGTGGAGTTTTTTTAATTTTTTTTGTTTATGTTAGATCCCATCACATTTGTGGTAATGTACAATTAATGTACAAAGTGTGGTTTTGTTTGCATAACAGGAACCAGTTTGAATCTAAAATCACACTGCGACTGTTTGTTATACATTTCTTTTACATATCTTTGCTTTTTCTTTGTGTCAGGGAATGATGCATGCTCTATTGGCCATCCACAAACAGCATGGAATTCTGGGTTTGTGGAGGGGTGCAAGTGCGGCAGTCCCAAGGGTCAGTGTGGGG